TTTTTTCACAAATCGAATAGACACCATCGTTATTCTCATATATATATATATATATATATAATATTACATTTAGACATATAGACAAGACAGATCTAAGCTATTTAAACGAGATTCACACTAAAAAAAATAGTACTCTCAGCGAGTTGATAATTGTGGTAACAACTGAGTTGTTAGGGTATAAAGCAAGCAGATGTTGTGGTTCTCTCCGCACACACCCACATAGGAAAACAAAACAAGATTTTGAAGTTAGTATGGCTTGAAACATATTTGAACGACTAGCAATGGGATAGTTGTTTACTCCCAAATATAGACAATGATAGAGAGAGAGAAGAAACAGAGGTGGATAATGAAGACAAACACTAATTTGCATATAAACATCTGCTCATACCTTCACAATTCTGAATAGAACATAGATTTTTTGTGCTTAGTTCAGTTTTCTGTTGTTATACATATAAAAGGAACGCGACTTATTTGCCTACTGAAAGTATTGTGTGTGCGTGTGTGTGTGTGTGTGTTAGTCACATCAACGTGTCAAAATAGAATTGCAACAGATGGATGAAAAGAATATACATTGATGAATACGGTATTTAGAGTGACATTAAAAAAAAGAAGAATAAAGAAAGAAATGACAAGCTAATCATTTTGATCTTTTGTTAATCATTCTCTGTACATATACTACTATCATAGTCACAATAGTAGTTTCTTTTTGTCGCTTTAGGAAATATACAATACAACTTGTCATTTCATTTTTACTACCTACAAGTTTCCGGCTTGACGTCAAAGAATGTATACTTCAATATAGTTGTATTAAGGAGAATACGGCTAACGGGCATGTATGTATGGTATGCGATGATGTGTACTGAGAGAGTAGTAGGCATAAACCAAGCACGGTATTCTCTTTCTCTGGAAACATCTTTCGAAAAGGAAGTATTTTATATTTATGATTAATAATTGACATGCCACAAAAATTCTACCGACGGTTTCAACGTGAATAAAATATGAAATGAGACAATGCAAAACATAGATTGTATTCCCAATGCATTATATGATGAAAATGACAGAATTAAGAATATGTAAGGTTGACAAGATTACTACTAAGAAGAATTCTTTTTAGGTTTTAAAACAAAGGGTAGTGTATAGTAGTTAGTGTACAGAGTTAAGTGCTACAGTTACATGAAGCCGAATGTTGAAGAAAACGAATACATGGTTATTAGTAGAAGTACAGTGAAGACATTGCCTAGTAAGTCACAACTAAACCATCCAGCCCAGAGAACAAAACTACAGAATTGATGGAACCGTTATTAGGCCTTGTATACCATTCAGTTGGTTACAATATGCTCTAAATAATTAGCCTTGCTGAGAAACTACAACGTTAGTAAAAAGTAGTTTGGATGATACTGACTAGCGATGGAATCCAAGATGCCAATTTCTTCCCATTTGGGACTCATCAACTGGATATACCTGCATTCCCAATGAGTAATGATGTTCCTACTGAGACACGAAACCAGCACTCATCGTTTCAAACGCCAAAGTCGACATATCAACAGAGGCCGGAGGTTTCGGTAAAACATAATCAATCAACGGGAAATCCAAGTTAACTGAAACCATTTGGGAAGAAGTATTTACATTGTTATATATTTCATGAATTATCTTTTATTTTTTATCTATATTTGTGAATGACAGGAGACAAGAAAAGAAAATTCAGAGACACCCCGTCATGCTACCTATCGTGTTGTCAGCCCAGTTTACAGTGGAACTGGAAGAGCATAGAACAAGATACTTAGGGAAGTATTTTACAAGGTCAATTTTGATACGTCCTACTTGATAAGACCTCAGAGATGTACAGATGAATTAGTAACATACAAAACATAATCTCCTTGGGAAAAGTGTTTCTTGGGATAGTATTTCTCTTCAAGTTAACTCCACTAGTCGTCGCGGTCTACTTAACATTCACACTTAAAATACATACACAAATGGCCTTTCCAATGTTTTGGATATTTCACTGATAAAAATAGATACTAAACTATGAATAAACAATCCTGATTTCTCTTTATATCTATAAACTTCAGGTTGCTTGATTTCGTTTTTATGTCTACAACAATATTTAACGTATTCATAGAAATAAATAGTAAATACCGCATTCAAGAAATAGAGATGCTAGAGAAGGCGGTAACAAGCATTTTAAATCATTGTTGATTTATGAGACAGATATTTTACATGAAATTTGACGTTGCGGTGAAATTTCAATTTCTTCCGACATTTTGAAAATTTTCAGATAGAATATTGGAAAGAATAAGAAAAACAGAGAGAAATTTCCTTTTCTGATTACATTCAGCCTAACGACAATATCTACCGAAAAATCTTTCTGCTTATCTCGGGTACAATTGAGAGATTATCTATTGTGTGTGGAATTTACTTTGGTTGTATACGAGCTCATAAACATAGAAGACAGATAAATACAGTTATGAAACACAAAAATTGTATTAGAGGATCATATTTCTCGAGATGTCAGGGTTCACTCATAAATATAAGCATATACGTCTGTATATATCTTACCTAAACACAATTGTGTATCAAGAATTAAAGATAGAAATGTAACTTACGGATCCCAAACCAGCTTATGATGTAAGTGCTCGTTCGTTATGCAATATGTCAACTGGCTACCTGACTTATTAGGATAACAGCATCAATAATCAAAAACTGACTGAGGGTATCAGACATTTTGCTAGGGTATTCAAATTCTCGTTCCTTCATAACCCTGGCTTTTGAACGACTTAGCAAAACGTCACATACCGTTAGTCCAAACAACTGCATCAGAGACACTTTCGCTGAATCAGAAATATTTACGATTTGATATCCATGTGATTCCCTCTCTCTCTCTCGGTTTGAGATGCATATGATGAAACACAAAAAGTGCCATCGTTTTCACAAAGGATTTTATCACAAACACAATCATTTCATCCATTTAAGCCCACCACAACTTCCGTACAAATGATTAACCTGTGTCTCGATTTGTATGTGAATAGATGTGTATGACTTATTTGTATCAAAATAATGTGGAACAAAACAATTGTCAATATTTTAATTCATTAATTAATGGAAAAATGATTAACCGGAATCAGTAAACAAAACGAACCTTCGCTGCCAGCTGTAATTTGACAGTAGTAAGTAGGTAATATGTGAAAATCTATCCATGTATATGTGTCTATATAGGTGTGTGCAATTGTGCATTATTCTATTCTACCTGTGATAGTAAACAATTCTCACGATTTTAAATGACAAAAACGAATACAAACCAGTAACTAATTCATTTTCAAGCAAAACGATCATCCGCCACCTGTATGTGCATAAAACACGGAGACAAGGTTGCTATTGAATAACAAAATGGGCAGACAGTAATAATCATGATTAATGATGAGAACAATCTTTGGTCAATCTCATTATTAACCGTATTTCAATAATGCTGACAACTGGTTTCAAAGACAAAGTTTTAAAGGCGACAGTGAAAGTAGATCAAACCGCATTTAGAACTATAATCAAGAACAACTTGTAATAACTTTAAAGAGTGTATAACACAATTAAGCACCCATAGACTAAGCGAGTACAACTTTAAACGAAAATGAATAGTAGAAGGTGTTGCAGTGTAACAAATTCCGAAAGTATAGAAACAAAGTTATTGAGAAATATCCTTGAAGATTGTAGAATGAACCAAGGTGTGATAGGTTTTAATTTTTGTAACACCTCAACGGCAAGCTTCTCTTCAGAATTATTTTCAAAACTAAAATTTATCACTGTGTGTAGATACTCATTACAAATATATGTGCGTCGGTGGCACAGTGGTTAGGACTATCGCCGACCATACACATGGTCTGGGGTTCGCCCCTCTGCTGATATCTATGGTCGGCCTGCAAAATTCGGGCTACCGATATCACATGCTGAAAATTCCATACCTGTACCAAAAAATACGGTGTGGAATCAAGCTGTAATCAAAAATCAAAAAATTCTTTAGAAAGTTACTAAGTACTCTTAAATGTCAACATCTTTTCGAGTTGAGTTGTTTTTTTTATATTGGTGAGATGAAATTTTAACGGGATTCCAGTGTAAAACATTTGTTTACGACATCAGACCGTTTAACACCAATGTAAAAATGTTATTGGATTACCAATTCAGATCAGTTGAACCTGACTGAATAGATCCGCTGGTTGGAGTGATTTATATAAATAAGCGTGTATCAGACAAGCTTTCAAGGGTAATACCATTCACGCTTAGTTCGATAGAGGAAATAAACACTCGTGGATGGTGGAGTTGGAATCATATATCCCTACTAAAGTCACTCACTACAGTCTCATGTGAACGCAAACAGCATGGCTCGTTTCGTTCAATAACACATACTGTGATCTACCTTGACATCTAACAAAAGTCAATACTATTCAGACAGACAAAACAAATATTGAGATTACTGCTTGACGATAAAATATTACGCTACTACTATGAACTGTATTTACAAAAGATCTGTGAAATTTTAAAAAAAATGAGGTCGAAAAAAATCAATGGCTCAAAGAAATATCCTTAGTAGGAAGACTAAATGTTGCACAAATAAGTCAACAAGTTAGGAGTACATGACACTTTTATGAAATTGCTGACAGCTGTTTTCTGACAGTTATTCAGTACGGTTGACTATTATCATAGGTATTCTCCCACCAACTGATGGAAGCACTTGGCATCAAAATAACACTCTATTGAGGGAATATACCAACACTGTCATAAAGGTTATGGGATGTACTTCAAAAATGCGAATTACTTATTCCACAATAGATTTTATTACAACCCCGACAAATGCTGAATTAAATAATGACTCCATATATTTATTAAGGCCAATGAAATTAATAGTAATCATAATAAGATGTTGATTTACACAAACAACAATATACACAGCACATGTTATAAAATATGAATAAACAGATACCAATAAATGAATAAATAAATACAAAAATACTTACATGAATCAAATGTGATCTCTGACAGGACAATCCAATCGTAATCAAACCACAGTGTAATTCTTAGATAACGACCTGTACGATAACCTAAATCGATAGGAAGCCAACGAGGCTGAGAATTATAAACATCACGGTGTATATCCACAACGACAGGTGAATGATTTCGATCAAAATAACGACCTCCATTACTGAACTGGACAGACACTCGACGAAAAAGAGCGATATAGTCCAAGGAATTTAAAGCATGAATACGCATTCGAGTGAAGTTACGAACTGAAGATTAAAACAAAAACATTTAACAATGCGGTTAATGACCATTTACAAAAAAAACATAATTATATAGTTAATGAACAATGTAAATAGAAGTTGAATCTATTGTCATTAGAAAGAAAAGTCACAACATCTGAACACATTTGTAAACATTAAGAACACTAAGTGTTTGAATGGATGCAAATGAAAGTGTCAGTGCTGGACTTAAGTCGCATACACTTGATGTTCTTCCTTCTAACTCTCTTATTAACAAGATGACTTTTTGAAAGTCAGTAAAGTATTATCAGATTTAAAAGTGTGAGGGAAATTTATATTCGTAACATACAAAGTAAGTCTGGAATACTACCCATAAAGTGAAAGCCTACCCAGTTACAATGGAGTGTGAACTTGAATAAAGAGGAGAATTCTACAATTTCATCTATTGGAAACATTATTGTGTTTTGAATGAGTAGGTGAAAAGTAAAGCGAGAGGTAAACACCTTGGAATTGTGTGTCCGAGTCGGGATGAAAAAACTCACTGATAGAATCTGTAAGACCGGAAATAAGACGGTTAACATGATGGCAACAATTTAATGACCCAAAATAATCATTGGACTATTATTATTAACAGACAACTACAGCTAAATAGATGTTCATCAGTTAAAGGCGGTTGTTTCAGTTGAGGGGAAAAGTCAAGTATCTCTTTACATTTAAAAACTGAATACCACCAATGCATATATTCACATGAAACTTGTATTATTTACATTCAGTCTTTAAAATGTATATGACTAGTAACTGATGAAATATTCATCTGAATGATGTGACTGGCTTATTTGTCATGGCAACGGATAGGGAAAAACAGGACACTTTAAAAAAAAGTTACATCCAGACATTTGGAATTTAAAATTTCATGATTAGATATTTTGTTTGACAAGACTTGGATGACGAGAAGCACATGACCCAAAACTAACAATAAAGAATGATGCAGAGAAACGAAGCAATCAGTGAGGCAAAGAATAGTATAGGCTAAGGAAAAAAGAATTAATTCTTCGGCACGACTAACAAAAAGGAATATTACATATGTTAAATAGTTCATGACGAACAAGATGCAGAGGTAGAGAGAGGTACCTCAATAACAGCTGAAATAAACAGGAAAACCCGAATACCGCTCATTTTGTATGCAACGAAGTTCAAGTGAATGGATTTGACCTTGTAACGTGATACGTTAGTCTTTATTGCTGTCCTATCACACACAATCTCCCAGATATGAACAGACTGAGGGTCATTAAGTTTCGCAACTATCACAATACTAACGAAATGAGGCCTAATGCTTTTAATTTCCAGATTTTTATTATTTTTGATATAGAGTAGTTATCATGAAATAGACTACGCTAATAAATGTATTCAAACTCGATTGGCATTACTCCATAGGTCCCTTCACCATATTGTACTGCAAACGGTTACTTTTTTAATGATAACGATGAATACGATTTACTACAAACGATGGGATAAAAGCCATCAGTTATACCTACGTCATTTTTCTTTTGGAAAAGAAAGGTACCTCTCCCAAAGAACTATTTATTTCATAGGAGTAAAACTTGGGAGATTAATTGGGATAGTCCATTTCGAATTAGGGCCAGTGGGATACGGGTAAAAAAAACATATCTGATGAAATAGGCTAAATATACAAGAATGAAATCATGAAAATGTAAATGCAGTTGTTTAACTTCGAAACCTACTGTTTAGATATGAGTATCAAGCAACACTTACTGCTGCAAACTAACAAGAGCTCAAAAGTCATCCCACCGATGACATTGGTTGTTGGTCGCGCTAAAAATCATGAATTGATAGAAGTTAGAATTCATGGGCCACATGAATGGGTCCCAGTGGCTGAATGGTACAAGAGCCTACCGTGTGACCGAAAGGTCCTTGGTTCGGACCCTGGAGGGTGGGTGCGTACTGCCGATGAGTCCCAAACTAGGATGAAACAGCTGTCCAGTATTCCCTGGTTTTCAATGGTCCTCTAACTGATATCAGTCCATGGTCAAACTCTTGAAAATAAGTACTTAATAAAAAAAATTTCAAATTCACAATTGACTGTCAAAATATCTAAAGATATTTCTTATGTCATTACATGAACATAGCAACGAACTACAATTAGAACTTTTGTTACGGTGACCAATAAATCCACCCGTAAAAGTCCACTCTTATGTTATCTGTCCTGTACTTATATATGATCATCCCTATGCAACATAGTTCTTATGTATACAGACAACCCTACGATAAATCGATTAACTGTGATATGTATACACGAATCTCCTATCCAGTGACATCATACTAAAGATTTTTTTAAATGAATACCACTCAGTTGACCTACATAACCATACGACATTCAAAGTACTTTAGTGGAAAAAATTATATCTCATGTGTAGCAAGTAAGTTGTTCTGATACTTACGTAATGTCTTGCTCAAAACACGTCATTGTTTGCCTTAAAAATGTTTTGAGGTAGACGAAAATCGATTGCTAAAAGGGCATAGACATTATCATAAAAGGTCGACTCACCTTATCTACCTGTCTATTTGCTTGAAATGACGCAATTTATGAACACCACTCAATCAGTGGTTTTAGGTATATAGAATCAGATACTCAGTATTGAGATAAATGCACGTCTGTATTGATGTAATAGGTGATGACTGAATAGCTATTTTACTGTAGGATGCAGACCAGTGGTCTGTGAATTGCTAGCCTGGAGCTGTATCAACTCAGTTACGATACTTACAAACAAAAATGAATTGCACTTTTACGTTGGTGGACTTTGAGATTATATGAACTCTATAATCTCTTTACGATGTGAAATAATGAAAAACTGATAAGAGCTCTGAAGTGTTTATTTATCTCCCAGAAAATTAATTTTGAGTGAAACGTTAGCTACAGTAATTTTCTTTTGAAATACATAGAAACAGTCGAATAGGAGAATCCACAGGTTTTATGATTGTATGGTAAATGTATAACTGCAACTGGCGGTAACAATTAATGCAATGACCACCAATAGACTAAACTGTACGAAGATAAAAACTACCTAATTATTCACTCATGAAGTAAGATAAAAATTAATTTACGTGAAAAGTGCGTAAGTGTCTTTGAGGTACATAAACGCAAGAGACACCAATACTAAAATATCGACTAAACAGTTACAGTAAGTTTACAATGAGTACACTAAGAATTCTGATAGGTAACATACTTAGTGTTTGACTTCTAGCTTTGATCAGTACTGCATTTCCTAGCTATAACTGCTGAGTGATACATGCAGGGATGCTTTTGTGAAACTACAACAACAACAGAGACTATACACTAATGACTCAACAATTAAGATGATCAGTCAAGAAGTTTCCTGTGAATAAAACTTCACGATTACAAGTTTCTGGATTACTACCCGTCTATTCATGTAACTGCAACTCCGCAGGTGTTTAAATATGGGGGTGACATACTAGTATATAGTTTAACTAAGGTACTAGGTAACGTCTGGGAATCAGAGACGGTTCTATCAGATTGGGGTAAGTCACTTATTATACCAATATTCAAGAAGGGAGACAAGTCCTCATGTGGTAATCATAGAGGAATCAGCCTGACGAACATAGTCTCTAAAATCCTAGGCTCAGTAATCATGCACAGACTAAGCCGAACTCGGGAGGAACAAACGAGGGAAAATCAAGTGGGCTTTAGGCCAGTTAGAGGTGCATAGATCATATCTTCACTCTCCGACAGATCCTAGAACATTGACACACTGTTAGGCGTCCAACAATTGCCATATTTCTTGACTTGAAGGCGGCCTTCGACTCTGTGGATCGAGAGGTACCATGGAAATGTTTGACTGTGAAGGGAGTGCCAAGAAAGTACATTGCACTTTTCTATGGTGGTGAGACGTGGCCATTGAGAGCGGAAGACACGAAAAGATTGTCTGTTTTTGACCACAGATGTTTACGATCTCTTTCTCACGTTAGGTGGCATAATAAGGTAAGTAATGTTGACGTTAGGCGTAGAGTGTTGGGCAAAGAGGGAAAATCAATCGAAGAGGCTATAAAGTTACATAGATTGAGATGGCTAGGTCACGTGCTGCGCATGCCTAACCATCGTCTCCCCCGACGGGCATTACTAGCTGATATAGATGCAGGTTGGAAAAGAGTAAGTGGTGGCCAAACAAAAACATGGCCTCATCAATCCATGAAATCCTTGACAGTTAAACTGAGTCAGGTAGGGAGATGCAGACTTCCGGGTTGGGGCCCTCGGGACTCTAAGAATCAATGGCTGGAGACAATAGGTGACATAGCTCAAAATCGTTGTCAATGGCGCAGATGTATTCAGTCTCTGTAATCTTTCATATTCCTTTCTACCATTACTCATTCTGTTTCACTCTTATACTTGTCAAAACTCTATTGATTCTCCTCACTCATTTTCTTGTCTACCTTTGTGTGCTATTTGGAACGTGGCAACTCGAACTGCTGCACTTCGGTGCCAAGTTCTATGTTGAATACAGCCAGCCAGCCAGCAACTCCGGCTACTCAACGAAAACCTCTCACAACACCCTTCCATCACTATCTTCCATACAATCTCTGGAATTCTTCATTTAACATATCAAGTGGATCTCTCACACAGTGTTTCGGAGGTAGCAACATCAACTGTAGATCAAGAAATTGATGAAGAAAATTGCTATTGCTATTTGTTAAGATAAGTACAATCTTCTAATTATGAAAACAGTTGTCACCTATTTTAGATCATTTCCTTACTTATCTTGTGTATTCATTCCCCTTTAATATTTGGATGCTTCATTCACCTGGATGCTAACCGGTTGGCTATCAACATTGATTTTTCCCCCTGCAAATTAGTACTATACATTACTTAGGCATATTTTCGCACTACACACACAAAGGACACCTTATTCGCAACATTTACCATAATAATATTTCCACATTTACTTCGCCTTTATTTAGTAGCAATAAGAGACAGTAATAATAGGAGTTCAGAAAAGTACAGGAAAGGATGAATAATAATCATCACTGGTAAACATTATATATATATATATATATATATATATAACCAGTTGCCTGTACAAATCTATTTTCAATCCCAACTACTAATTAAAAAAACAGATAAGAACTCTACGTATACCAATAAATAAATATTATGCATAAATCTATCTAGAAAATGTGCATAAAACTGGAAAGTCAAAAGATTGAAACGCGGAAACACACATCAACGACAATCATAATCCAGTTTCAAGAAAAAGGTCGAAACAGACGATGTATGTATATGCACACAGGTACATCGGCATAAATCACCTACATATATGTTATGCATGAATTAATCAACTATATGATCCCCCGTCTATATAATGAATTAAACAGCTACAGGACAAAGAATGAAGGCAAACGATCAAAAAGGGGAATAAGAATAGCCATTAGTAGTATGGGCACAGAAAAAAAAAAAACAACCCATTTCAGTGATGTATTTTGTTCAGTAATGTCACAACTGTTCAAATGTCAAAACCTATAATTATACGCATAGATAGTCAATTTTTTTTATAAATATGATCAATGAAACCATAAAGTAGATTAGATTGACTTAAAAATAATTAATACGCCCTAGTGTAGTGCTTTAATACAACTATACAGAGATTACAGAACAAATTTAAAAGACTATTGTATATGTTGTTGACAATATGAAAGATTCCAGAAAGTTTCAAAATAACTGAATGGATGGATCAGCTCTTTTTGATATTGGATGATGTGTGTTTCATTTTCACATTAATTTCAATTTCATTTATGTTTCAGCCAACTTGATTATTTTGATTTTTTAACAATTAATTCATGAAACTTCAATCCCTAAAAGAACTCTGATATTGTCAACTCATCATTCTACAATACAAATCCTCGTGTTCCAACTAAACTAAACTAAGATGTAAGCGAAATGTAAATATCTCTGAAAGTAAAAAAGATAACACTGTTCACTAATCTTAAAATATCCTCCTGTATGAATTATGGAGGTGAATTCAAAAAATGTTTTAGTGAGTGTAGAAGTTAATTGTGTGTAGGTTTTCTAAAGTTTGGTTTGTAAGGATTAGTTATGTTTTACGAGTTGATCACGGACTGATATCAGTTAGAGAACCATTGAAAACCAAGGAGTACTGGACAGCTGCTGTTTCATCCTAGTTTGGGAATCATCGGCAGTACGCACCCACTGGGATTCGAACCCAGGACCTTCCGGTTACAAGGCAAGCTCGTATACCATTCAGCCACTGGGACCCGATTCAATGGCTCATGAATTCTAACTTCTACCAATTCGTGATTTTAGCGCGACCCCAACTATTGTCGTTGGTGGAAATCCATCCACACGTGACTTCTAATTGGACCTCACTGGTCACGACTTCTCACTAGAACTGCAGGAAGCTCCAACCTGTAGCAAGTCACTAGCGAGCATCAGAATAATTTTCTAAAGTTTGGTTTGTAAGGATTAGTTATGTTGGGATGTATATTGATCGTAAAGCTTACACTTCGAAGAATCATCATGCAGATGTAATAAATAATAATGACAACTCTAAAAGAAGCAACGCTATTCAGTGCTTCTGCACTGAAACTATGTCTGTCCTATATTGTTTGCATTAGACACTAATTGCTGGAAAACTGAGATAAGTAAACGAGGCATTGGTGTAATCTTATTCACTACATCATTGATAAGTATTTTATGAAGCGCTCGGAAACACTATTCAGCATGGTTAGCAAAGGGAGAACACAAAGGGGGATACAGTTCGATAACAGAACATTTGGTGAATTCAGGATATTCAGCTCCATTTGAAAAGTCCTTCAAAGCCATATATAAGAACCCATCAAACCTATCAAAGGGAGTGAAATCAAGACATCTAGGAATAGCTGACGCACTGACGATCCAAAAACTCAAGCCTACACTATTTGTTCAAAAGAAATCCTTATAACTGTGAACTACTGAGAAAAAATACCAACTTTTTCTTTCCATGAGTCAAATCGATGAACTTGTGACTATTGCAACAAACTGATCACATTTAGAACTTGTAGTGATCGAATGAATCTATATCTCTTAAGAAATTATTTTTCTCTAAAAAGCCTAACAAATTCGTTATAATAAAAATGTTTGATTTCTTTTCAAAGCACATATGTTAACGAACTGCTGTCTGTTTGATATAAGTTAGTAATGAAAATCATTTTCACTAACAAAATAATTCCTTTTAAGTTACTTAGCAGATGTTTAGCTGAAAATAACGTTTCACTGATAACTCAAGAATTACCGAAATTATATCAATGAATTTGAATACCTGTGGTCTTCATTCTCAGTCTAGTGTAAACACTATGCAGACAGTATAATTATTATCTGAATATATGTGTGGAATTAAATGTCACACAAATAGAGGACATACTTTGTTGGAAAAAAAAACTTAATATGCAGATAAATTATAGGTGAATTCACTGATATTATCTTTATTTTCAACCCTTAACGTGTATACAAAGTGATTAAGGTCTGTTAATGTAATGCAGCAAAGACAGGACTCCAGGTGAACATAGACAAGACGGAGGTTATGAAAATAACCAACCAACAACAACAACAGCAACATCCACCGCCAATCACCATCAACGGGAGGGATTTGAAAGAGGTTACTTCATTCACTTATCTAGGGAGCATTGTCTCAACTGCAGGAGGAACGGACGAGGATGTCAAATCGAGAATCGGGAAGGCGAGAAACACATTCATCAACCTGAAACCAATCTGGAAATCTTCGTCACTCAGCATCAACAACAAAATTCGGATTTTCAATACAAACGTCAAGTCAGTTCTTCTATACGGATCAGAAACTTGGCGGGTCACAAAGAATATTTCCAACAGCTGTTGCAGACCTTTATCAACAGCAGTCGTCGTTCTTTACTCAAGATCAGATGGCCGGAAAGAATCACCAACAAGAAACTATGGGAACAAACAAAACAAGAACCAATCGCCCAACAAATATGCAGGAGAAAGTGGAGATGGATTGGACACTCGCTGAGGAGGCCGCTGGGTGACATCGCGCGTCAGGCCATAGCTCGAGTGGAACCCGAAAGGGAAGCGGCGAGTGGGACGTCCAAGGGTGACATGGAGGAGATCGTGTGAAGAGGAGTTGAAACAGTATGGACTAACATGGATGCAGGTGAAAAGTACAGCAGAAGACAGAAGCAAGTGGAGACGTGTAGTTGAAGCCCTATGTTCCACTAGGAACCCAAGGGAACAATAATAATAATGTAAATGTGTAGAACTTGGGCACTGTGGTAGAATGAAATAATTGGATGACGTTTCGAGCATAAAAAATATTGCTCATAATCATATCAATTTAGTCACATGGCTTATATAAGACAAATTGCGAAGCCGTGTGACTAAATTGATATGATTGTGAGCAATAATTTGTGCTCGAAATTTCATCCAGTTGTCAATACTGCATCACTGTGAGATATTTAAAATAAGGTCAGTGACAAGATAGTTTAAAAATCCAATGAAGTTAGGAGCAGTAAGTATGTAAGTTATAGGAATACAAGCTTGATGCGTTTTGGTTTCAGCCTACTTAAATAAGCATAAGAAAGGAGGCGGTCAGTTGCGGTTTGAATTCTCTCAGGTATTTCGTGTTATTTGGTTTTGCATTACGTAATCGGATGAAGGCTGTAGTTACATTAGATGTTACGTCCGGCTGTTTTAAAGGTGTTTTATCGACTTTTTTACGCAGATGGAATATCTGTTGTGGAGTTTGGTATGTCATGCGCGGAAACACCTTGCGATAGCATTTAGCTTCACCCAGTTAGGAGATGTATTATGCATCAAATGAAATCCAACAACGTCTTAATATTATATCCTTTCCAATAAACGTAATTATGTTAGTTAAGTTTTGTGAAACATATTGCATTAGCATCACTATTCATTGTAAAAGTCGACTAACGAACGTCCCATTTGAGCTTATCAACACAGATGTTTTATTGTTGTTATGTTTCTTATCGATTGTCTGGCTTCATTAAGAAGCTTTCATGGTCATTCTAGACAACATCTACAGCATGAATATACTTTTGAGTCTGGTCGTTATACTAGTGTACCTACACTGATAATGAGCCTGGGATCTGAAGGAACAGTTGGAAAAATATCCCAGTAAAAATACACAACTACAAATAGGAAGATCTAAATTGGCAGCAACAGTTAATATTTACAAGCGAACTGTTAACTTTTATGCTCTTATGCTTGCAATGCACACTCTCCTGTCTCACAGTGAAAACACTACTTTACGATTATCTAAATTCTCATTTACTGTACCGTTATCAAGCTGTAAAAGCATGTCTTTACAAACACCATCTATATGTTTATGGAGTCATGCTGTCGACTTGAAACAAATATAATGAAAATTAGCAAACAAAAGACTAACCTTGATCGAATTTGAATAACATGGTAATACGACCAGATGGAGTTGTATGTTGTCTTCGAAACCAGCCAACAACGCTATTACTGCCTAAATTTTCAGGAAGACTTCCTTCAAAGTACTGTTTATCCATAAGTAAACCCAGACCACCTGTAAGATAAGCGCGTCGTTCACCTGTATTATCTGGATCAGTACTGGTTGCAGATAATTCTGAAATTAACCTTCCATCATAGCTTGTATCATTCAAAGCAAAGTCTCCACGTGGATCAAGTCGATATACATCTCCTTCAGGAATTGAATATTCAATAACTCCATCTATCAAATAGAAAAATATCAAGAGATATATAATTCTAAATTCAAAGGGAATTAATCCGACTTTTAAAACTAAAATGAATTGAAATGGTTTATAGACAATAATTCCATTTTACGACTATAAGAAAGACAAATGAACAGTATTATCCCGCATGGTACAAAGAATGTTTAACAGGTTGTTTTGATTGTGTGTATTTATGTATGACTAAGTTAGACGAATAAAATCTTATCTAATCCTACACTTTGATTTCAAGAGGATTGAATAACCTAATCCTTTTTCTCGATATTTATAAGATCGGAAAATGCATCTGACAAATGTTGGATACTAAAGTCAGGGTTACTAAGTAACTTTAAGCTATTATAATTATCATTTATTGTTCCCTTTGGTTCTGAGTGGAATATAGGGCTTCAACAACACATCTCCACTTTCTTCAATTTTCTGCTGTTCTCATCATCTGGGCCCACGATTGCCCATAATCTCTCGTCTCTTTCTCGCGCGATCTCCTCCATGTCAACCTAGGACGACCCACTCGTCGTTTCCCATTGGGATTCCACTCAAGCAGTGGCCTGGAGCACAATGTCATTCGACGATCTCCTCAACATATATCCGATCCATCTCCATCTTCTTTGGAATATTTGTTGAGCAATGGGCTCTTGGTTGGTTTATTCATCATCAGAGTTTCTTGTTGCTAATTCTTTCTGGCCGGCCAGACATTTGATCTTCAGTATGGAACCAGCCAGCGAAGGCAGCTGTTGATAAAAGTCTGTAATCTGTCGGAAATGATTCTCTATGTTCACCTGGAGTCCTGTCTTCGCTGCCTCTTCAACCAGTTTGTTCGTTTTCGCCTGCAAGTCTTCTAGCTTGTGTGACACTAAACATAAGTTATCTGCGAAATCCAGATCTTCTAGAGTCTTCTGATCGATCCAGCGTATTCCTGTCTTCTCACTCCGAAGCACAGTCTGACGCATAATCCAGTCCACTAGAATTAAGAATATTATCGTTGGTGATAATAGACAGTCTTGTCTTACTCCTGTATTCACTTCAAAGGCCTCACTGAGTTTACCGTTGTGGATCACTTAGCACGTGGCATTGTTGTATAGCCGTTGAATGAAGCTGATAAAGATTTGAGGTGCTGCACGCCATAGTGTTGAAGTAGTTTCCAAATTACTTCGTGGTCAACTCTGTCGAAAGTCTTTTCGAAGTCGATGATTAAGAGCCAATATTAAACAAAAATATATAACTGTATATGGTATTATCAATAAATGCAGACAACAGTTTGAAAACTCCACAATCTGGGAAAAATTTCACATTTGAAATGACTGCGCATCAAACAGGTAGATATATAGAAGTAGACAAATGAAATCTATTTACACCTGGCTTTTGATAGCCACATTGGACTCTATGACGAAGTGATTTGTGTAGGAGATTAACATATGTGGAAATAACGTCAACTATATGAATTTTTCATCCTATGAAAATTTTAAAACTGACAAACACACATAGCACATACAGACATGGAAACCAAATATAAAACATTTCCAACAAGAATAAGTGGGTCTTACTTCTCAGTCATACAGATTTTGAAGTAATTTTAGTCATCTGGTGTGTTTTTTATACAAGGTGTAGACGCCACAGTAGACACAGTAACCGAATAGAAATTAGAATGAAAATCATACCTTAAACAAAGAGAATATCTGTTCAATTACAAGTTCACTAGCATAATTATAAACGTAATCGAGATTTTCTTTCAATTTTCAACATCAAGTAACAATTGATAATATCAACAAGAGTTCAGTCTCAGTAAAAGTGAATTTCATTTTGCATACGCAATAACCTTACTATGAAGACATTTTTTTGTATTTCGACATTTCTCTCGATATATGTTGAAGTCATCAGAAAATACTGATCTAAGCTAAGTACATGTTAAACACAATAATGTGAAATGATATACGTGAGATTTTTAAGATGAAGAAAAAGGTGACAATTTTCGAAATTAAATTCAGCACACCATACAACACCAGAATGTGATTCAAGACATAATTATAATCTGTCAAAATTTAGTATATAATTGAGAATTAATCGACACAGTTTTAGTAAACTATAAGTGACACGATTGAATTATTTAGTGTAGAATATTGTTTATTACATATATGCAAATAAACTATTCGTCTGCTATAGGTATATATTTTTTTTCTTCTCAGTCATGAAATTTTTACAAACAATATTACACAGTGATAACGATGATGATAATGTGAACTAATAATTGATATAGTCAGATTATGGGATTTTGTGGGGATTTCGATTGATTACACTTGTTCGATTTCGTCAACAAGCAACATCAGTTAGAGAGAACATTGAAAACCAAGGAGTACTGGACAACTGTTTCGTCCTATTTTTGGTTGAGAATAGCGTTATGTAACACGAAATGACGAAGTTAGAATTAACAGGCCATTGAAATTCAGCTCAAGTGGCTTGATTTCATAACTTGAAAGTCCTAGGTTCCATATTTGATCAGGTCACGAGTGCACGCTGCTGAAGAGTTCCAGAATAGAACGAGACAGCTGTTTTTTCTTCAAAAAATCTCACTAACTGATGCTGGTTCGTGTGGAAATTGAAAATAACAAAATGGTTATATGACGAGATAGCACAAGGGATCAGCACCGGTAATTCAGACTAGTGAAAAATAGTTTAAAAAACGCAGAAAAATTAAATTTATTTTACAGAGTGGAAAATTACACTACTTACCGTCAAACACAGATCCATAGACAGCTAATCGAAGGCACATTAACTTTGGATTCGGTTCATTAGTGTAAGGCAATACACGAAATCGTTTAGCGATAATTGGTGGGTCTAGTTGAATTGCTATAGTCTGACTATTACGATTAGCATGAAGTAGCTGGTATTTTAAAAATAAAATTTAAAAAAAAAACACACACATGAATATACCAAATTAAATTTGCTTCTGTTAAATTCTGATTTATTATTGAAAAATTACCAAAAAGAAAAGGAACAACCCTAAGGAAGTAGATATCAGCTAATGCAACTGCATGTTTTTATGTTTGTATGTCCAAGATGTTCAAGGATGAAGGTGAAAAATATGATAAGCAGTGAGTGCTCTATATCAGTAATGGTAGTAGAAGAAGAGGAAAGTGAATACTGAAAGACAAAATACTCGTTTTTCTTTAAGACAGCAAAATTTTTGATTTATGTGTTTTTTTTAAAAATATTCATCTACTACTGACTCGGAGTTCATTAAAAACGGTCAGGCAAAAATAGACAAAAAATAATTTTGAGATTTGTTCTTCAACAACAACAACAACAGCAACATCATAAATCAATTGCTTTCATCAAAATAATTTTCGATAGGCACATAAATGTGCACGCAAACACATATGCAAACAAACATGACATACAACAGGGATTGACTCCGTAGTTCCATCAAGACAACAACTTACACACATGCGCATATATATAATATAACATTGAAGCATGGAAATTAGGGGAGATACATAAAGTTACTTAATAGAACAAAATTAATATCAATGAAAGCAGTAATATGTGCAAACAGATACTAATTTTTTCTTTCTCTCCTCCCTGTGCATAACACATCCTTGATATCTACATGTATGTTTGTTCGCGTGATGTATGTGTACCCCGGTATGATTCTCGAAAATGGATATTCAAAGAAATCTAAGCCCAATATTAAAAGTAATCAAAATTCCCTCTCTCGTTTTCTTTTATCAATATAAATCTGCAATAAAAGCCAAGGTAATTTTTAAAGAATTGTCAAATCTAAAACGAAGATAAATCTGTGTAAATGTCAAGGCACACTTAAGCGTTACTTCAACCTGTGAATAATAACTAATAACAACAGCATTATTAAAGTATCAAATATAAAATGGAAGCTTGTGCTGAGAGTTAAGTGATAATTGAGAATAAAAGCAACCGAAAGCATAATAAATAGGCTAGAAGGGATTGTGTAGATTTAAGAGAACATTTTTCAGCTAGTACTGTTATAAATACTTTCAGTTAACAGTTTTGTTTTAAACTGAGAATTAAATGTCTTAAAAATTCCAATGAACCATTTGAATGAATATTGGATTATAACTGAAGTACATGAAACACACATTAGTAAAACGAAGTCCAATAGCGTGGCTAACGGGCTTAAGCAGTCGGCTTTCAGCCAATTGAATCCTACAATCAAATCCTGTTTTACCTACGTCAGCCTGAGCAACTGGATGGTGCTATCAGCCCTCACTCAATAAATGTGGCTCACAATCAGGTACATAAAAAATCTGTTCTAGGTAAATGATCTCCTCCATGTTATCCTCAGACACTCAACTCATCGTGTTGCATTCGGGTTCCACTCAAGGAATTCGCCAGTGATGTCATTATTCAACGGACTCCTCAGTGTATGTCCAATCCATCTCCATTACTTACTGAAATATTATCAAGTCACATAGTCATTAGTAGTGTAATAGACCATAGTGTCCAAAACTTAAGGCTATTCTACTCCTGCTCACGTTTGAGCTCACTTCAAATGATAACTGCTGTTAATTAAATTTCTTCTAACTATTCCATAACTTTTACACAGTTAAGGATATATATCAAACTACAATGAAAATGAACAGCATAACTCGTGTTTCGCCAACTAGCGTGGAATAATTCTAATACACACCGATCAAAAAGTGAATTCTAAGCACAGTCAAATCTGATAATGCAAAAACTTGGTATAAATAAAGTAAGGGGAAATTTATTGCGTGATCCAAGAGGAAATTCATGAAGCATGTGACAGAGTTATCATCATTCTATCCTACAAAAATACCAATACTGTAAAATAGCCAAACAGCCTACGTAGTGTTTTATTTACTTCATACAACCGGATAACTCTGATAGAATAAGTTAAATTCTAAAGAAATTGAAAATATTGATGCTACGATGGTGCCAAAAGTAAGCTTCAGTAGATTTAGATGGTCCAAGCTCAGGCTGCAAAAATAAACACCACTGCAACCGAAACTTCAAGCCTCTCTAGCTTGAAGTCCTATGTTCCACTGGGACCGTAAAGGAATAATAAAAAAGCTCAGATCACAGCTACAGTTTTTACCAGTCAGCATCATTTGTTAATGGTTCTGATTATTTTGTAAAAACAAGCTGATTAAGGTAGATATCTGATTAATATGAAATCACGATGAGTTGACTTTGCGTTACAGATGTCTTAGAAGTATTTTATAGGGTTCAACAGAAATAGTTAAGATGTGAATTACACCTACGTTACATCTGTCTAGATGACAACTGGTATTGTACCACGACCACACACACACACAGAATATACGTAACAATGAGGAGTTTACAATGAATTTCCACTATTATTGCTTACCTAGAGTTAAGCAAAACAAACAAGAATGGTGTGGGTAACTATGCTATACTGTTCCATATCACATCGCGGTTGGATAAAACTATTCAGCTTCAGATTTGAGAAGTAGTCAAGTTTGATTTTCTTTTGTCAAACACACTGTCATAGAAAATTATCAATTCCTCTATGTTCGACTGATATGAAATACTGGTATTCTATCGGTGTTCGCGTTAGATAACAACGCTTTTATACAATAGAAACAATTATCATCAGTCACATAGTTTAAACAATGCTTATATGTATATAGTAGTCAATACTATTTATCTACTTTATGTTCCATAGCATACGATATATCAGTTTTCATTCAGAAATATAATTGACATATTATTTTCCTTCAATAAGATTAAATCATAACGCTTTGATTAACTGATTAGACTGTCAATAATCTATTAAATCCTTACTATATGAGTCCTTATTATCAATGACATAACAGTTAATTGTTTTTGTTGTTGTTGTCAGACGTCAAATCAACTAGCTGAAATGTTATATGATATCGTGACCTTAGGCTAATGAGACACACATAACCTTAGATATATGTATTGTTCTTCAGTGATATATATAACCTTTATTTCTCACTAAAATGATGCAATCATTCAATGAAAACGATGACTTCACCTCAAAGTTATGAAAATTATTCACTAACTCACTCATATTAACGTCCTTCAGCTTTTTATCTAGATGATTTACGTTTATAATATTATTAATAGCATTCCCTTTAGTTCCGAGTGGAACACATAGGACTTCAACAGCATATTTATATTCTATATACACCCTACCTTACAACTATATCATTCAAATTTCAAAAGTTGTATAAAAGCTATCCACTGAAAGATGAAAACTCTCAACATGTTACGTTTCTGACAAGTATACTTCTCACTTTGAGAGTGTTAGACAACAGTGTTAAATAGAACTGTTAAAAATTTTGTTTACACACTGAGCAATCGATACGTATATATTATATAGTTGCTAGACATGTGCATATAAGGTCAACGGTATATTGATTAGTACTTAGGATTCTTCCATTAAGAGTGACTATTAACAACAAGTGAATTGTAGTTCCTAGGAGTGAAGGATACTCACTTCATAAAACAAAATGCATCCATATTCTTCTCATAAAGCAAAGTAAAGCAAAGAAGACGAAAAAAAAATGAGTTTAAAGAAAAACAATTTTCACGCGTAAATAAAATTGATTATTCATTACTAATTGTGTGCTTTACAACAGAATATAGACGACAACAATAAGTGAAGAGACTGTAGTTAGTAGAATTACAAAGTGTTCAACTCTGCAGATACTAATAATAAGTGTGAGAATATACAATGGAAAGAGACAACTAACATTTGAGAGGCTCAAGACTTTAAGGAAAGGTAGTGAAGGTTGATAAATAGGACAGGGAGGTTAAATTACAGCCTGAAAATGAAATACTACATATCGAGGAACATTTACATAATGAAACTGGTTTGATAAGGAGTATGGAAACAGAATACTCGTTGTATTTATGATTTCAATCAAGATTAGGATCAGTTGACGGGTTTGTTAGTCTTGTATCTATAAAACACAGATGATTTTTGATAACATTCCCGAAGTAACAATGAAATCCATTACACGGGACAGAATCATTCTCTAAGTCCAGTTGTCTATTTGAAGTACGTCAGTTGTATATGTAAAAAAAATCCTATCAGTACTTCCTGCATGTATAAGGTGAATCTCCTTGATATCTGTCAATTTTACACATTCCTAATCGATATCCTAATTGACACAATTAGCAAATATTTACAAAGCAATGAATATTAATGCATAAATGAGTACTAACTGAGAGTTGGTATCAGTGCTACTTACCCTGCTTCCATTCCTCATCCGATACTCATACCACTTTGAACTATCGTCCCGTTGATATTTGATAACAAACATTGGAACAAATGCATTCTATTTAGAGTAGAAATAAAAAGAAAAGAAAAAAGGAACTAAAGTGCTGTTAAAGTCAAGTGAACACTTTAACATGAAATTCAAAAAACCGTTTTTTTAATGCACATTACATTATTCAACATACTGATCTTTATCCTGTGGGTGCGTACTGCCAATGAGTCCCAAACTAGGATGAAACAACTGTCCAGTAATCCCTGCTGGTTTTCAATGGTTCTCTAACTGATATCAATCCATGGTCAAACTCGAAAAACAAATCAAATCCTTACAACTCAACTCATGAAAATACTGATCCTTAGAAAAAGGAGGATGAGATCGTTCTCAATGGTACAGATGTATTCACCTCCTTATGAACTTCTATATTCATTAAATTCTTATGATTCTTTCTTCCGTACCTCTCCATTCATTATGGTTCCTCTGAATATTTTTTCCTCCCTATCGTTGTGTGCGACTTGAAAACTCAGTCAGAATAGGATATGGAGGATTGCAATCAAACAAAATCCCTACAAAACCAATACTTGAGAATAGGATATAACATATGTTGCTGGACGAAGCTAAATCTTCAAGTTATTTAGAAAATATGAACTTTTAGAATTAGACCACATTTTCGAAAGATGGTCAGTTGTAATTCTAACTTGAATGCAATTAATCATTTGCAGAGTACATACAAGTCAAGATGACATTTTCCTACGAATTACTGTATGAAACCTGAAACGCCAACAAAAAGTAGGTTTAAAAGGCAATATTGATAAATATTTGGATGGTTTGATCTGATTTTACTTCAGAGCTGAGTTAATTACTGTACAATATGAATGAGATCACCTGACTCTTGTTCATCACTAAACCCGATATTGCATACGAATAAATTAGAGTGTGATTTAGAGAGACTTATTAATTTCATGTATTATCCAGTGTTAGATTTCTGAATGAATACTTTAGTGTCCACACGAAAGGGTAAGTAGTATTACGATGTATAAAGCAAAAGACCACACATTTATTAACACATTATTAAACTGTAGGATAGAACGCGACCTAATGGCTGTGTGCAACGTTTAAAGAAGGCTGTGCGCTATATGCATGCGCCTCGCCCTGATAATGTTTTCGACCGATAGCTGCTACCTAGACGTGGTGGTCGGACTTGCATATCGCAATGACCCAACAAGCTACACTGGATGGAACTAATGTTCCTGCAGGTCCTACCATGCCAGGAAGATTGTTAGGATAGCGATTAGACTAAAAGCAGTTACCGGCATAGTGTAAGAATTTGTTTTTTACACAATGCTGGGGGTCTGTGGGCAAAGTTGTGCTGCTGGGGAACAGGGATGTAACAGCAGTAAGGTGTTTCCCTCAGATGATCACCATGCCAGCTATGCTGTCTCTACACTCTTGAGACAGGGGTTTAGAAAGGGTCGACCCCAAAAACTGTACATCCCGACTTATCCTACGGTGGTCCGTAACCGGCGGTAAATTTACTAATATGGAACCCATCCAAGAAATCAGTTCATACCGGCCTCAAGCAGCTGTCCCCTGGGCTCTGAAGTCACTCAACACTAATTCTCTTTCTGTTTCAGGTACTCCAAGAAAAAATCGACTTCCACGGTGTGGGCAGCCAGGAAGTAACAACCGCCCATACACCTCCAAAAACACACGAAGACCTCTTGAGCCAAAGTGTTACTAATGTACATAAAAACATAGAATACTTCAAAGTGCATCATGAAATTGAGTGCTACAATTATCTGAATCAAATCTTATGGTTCAATCGTCAACACTTTTATGCACAAAGTCCGAGAGCCTTGCAACTGATACCAGTAGACATCAGAAGTGAACACCTCTAGTGGTTTTACCACTTTTCTGTAGATTTTCATCCAGTACATGGTACACATCAATTTGTTAGAGAGAAAAAAATCAGAGAACAACTAAAATACTTTTCGGATTCTCACCTACCACCTTGTAAGAAATGTTATTATGATACATTTGTCTATACAATTTTAATGAGATATACATGCAAAAGAAATGAATATGTGAAGGTGCAAAGTAGCCTAACACCACCTCCTAAGTTGACTGTATGCGCATGGAATGTCAAAATATAGAATTAGACTAAGTAACAGAGAAAGGATTCAGAATGCCCACACCAAATCCACTTATCTTTAATACACACACACACACACATAGACAGCAGAATATGTTAGAACAGTAAATCATCACGACACTGAAAGGTGTTATAAAGAAATGATATTAGAACAAGAAAAAGAGCATTCGTAATTTCACTCAGTACCAATGTATGCACAGAGAAAGCACACATGTTGTATGCATACAGTTGTTATTACTTATCATTGGAAAAATACCATGTAGATCCTGTCAAAGTTATACTTTACTAGAGGAATAAGAAAATGCAGGAAATAGAAGACAGCAAATGATAACTGAGAGAACATTAGCGATTAAGTTAACAAGTAGGTGACTATTTAATTGAGTCGTCAAATAGTTGTCGAATAATCGCTAGGTAGTGGAACTGAAGCTCCAAAAACCAACAACTGCCATTATCTTCTGTCTAATTCGTAAACTCATATAGTGGTACTTTATTCCTTTTGCAAAGAGCATATATACTCGCTCCAACTGTATATTAGAACTAAGAATAATGAACGAAATACGAAGCAGTGGGCAGTCATTGCGTTTCTACTTGAGATTAATCTAGAAGGTGCTTATTAAGGTCACTGAGCAATTTGAAAGGTTTTGATTACTAGTTCTGGTATCAACTTGTAACATTTGTCTAGCAGAATTTAGGTTTTGATAGACTTTCAAGCTGAAAACATTGAAAATAGTTGACTGTTAAAAGTTCTTATTGTTAAAATTAAGAGATATACAAGTTTATCAATGCTGTTTTCAATCAGACCGTCGTCAAGCTCCTTCTCAATATATACACAGCTTTAACTACGTAAGATTTTAAACAGTGACGGTGATGTGTGGGTCAATGATGTTTATTATTATTATGGTCATTATGATTATTACCGTTGCTGTTGCCAGTATAATGTAAGTTATTTGACACACAGACACGCTGGAATTATTTTAAATAATTTTACAATGACTCAGTCAGATTCTGTGGTTACATTATTCTAGGGACCTCGCAACACCTATGCTCTAGATACCTGTAATAATTAGAACAACACATTTAAGCGAATAATATTGTTTTCAATTAGATCTCATCAGGCTTAACTATAATATACATAACTATACAAATAAGAGTTCAAATATAAACCAATCATGGTGTTTTGTCAAAAGGATAATAAGGTTGTGCATATAAATCGTGCAACTAGTCATAATAATAATAGTAATAACAATAGTGATAATAATAATAATAATAATGGTTCTATCAGTAACAAGGATGAAAAAGTGAGGCTATCTGTGATAACAAGAATAACAAAAAACACCATGGTTAAATAAACAAATGTTCAGGTAGAAGTAGTCGATAAAGGCTAAGAAAAACAAATGAACCGATTCAGTAATGCTAGATTATAAGAGAAGTAAATAAAATACGTTTTAACGAAATGTGATAAGATTAGGGGGTGATAGGACAGGGGTTGAAAATATAAGTAGGGGGGTGGAGAAGTCATCAGTAGGTTAGGTCTTAATAGGCGAAGAGAGGGATAATGGCTGTAAGAACTTCGTTTGAATGCATAGTTCAGGCTTAATAGTTTGAATGCCTATCGCCTCAACTGTGTGCAGTAGAAAAATACGAATTCCATTGGAAAGATTCGGTGGGATGCAATGAATTACCTTAAAAGCTTTCGTTTTCTACACTACATGACCACTATCAACTAAATGTGACAAAACGAAGCTTTGGATTATTTTTGTCTGTCCTTTGCGAAACCACGATGGGAAATGTTCAGTAACACGTTGGTTAAGCTGTCTATTAGTACGCTCAACATAACTGTCACCTTAGGTGCAGTTGAATTGATAAATGCACATAGATGTGGCAAAACTATCTAGCTTATCCTTCGTTTGCGTCCCAATCATTCGTCGGCTAGAGAATGGCAAACATAGGTTTGCTGTGTGAAACGTTCTTCGTATACAAAATTCAATTAAATTCTTCGTATACTCCTGGAAAGTCTCTGGAATAAAATCTCACTTGACAAGTCACCATTAAATTGTAACTTAATAAATAGAGGTTTTTTACATGCAGTCGTAGTCTCAGGTTTTCTCCAATGTTTTCATATGTTTCTTTATGAAACTCATGGGATAGCCCATCTCCGTCAAGGAATCATAAATATATTCCAATTCCTTTTGTAAGTGGACATCCGCACATATCTTTCTTGCTCTGCTCGTAAGATATTTAACATCCTCTTATATTTAGTGGGCACGTAACTAAGGATGTGTGTACTGCCCTGTGAATGTGCTTTTTCTATACACGTTTTTCTCAAATGACCCAACTTCTCACCTACTTAGCAAGACGTTCAGAAAATGTAGTTTACTATCCTGCTTCTCTTCACAATCCGTCTATGTTTGCATTCCCATCAACTAAGATGAATGTATCATCGACATAACGGTAATACATATCCAACTCCTTGATGATGTCTTTCAATCTCCTGTTTTCAAGTTTGTATGGAAGAAGTCAGCTAGTATTTGGCCTAATGCTGAACCCATAGCTATTCCATCTACTTGTCGGTAATATGAACTTGTGATATTGTTAGTCATTGTGTTTTTGATCAAACATGAAATCAGTCAAATTCATGCACAACCAACACTTGGAAATTATACAGTGCTCACTAATGACTAACTACAGTATGAAATTGTCTGAAATTTTAGTGGGAAGCAGTGACTAGTAGGACCCACTAAGTTGGCTTTGAGGATACTCATCTATGACATTGGCTTGGAGTCACGCTATATATGATGAACTGGCAGATGTTAGAATTCACAGGCCATTGGTTTCCGTCCCAGTAGCCTACTTTGTAACCGTAAGGTCCTGGGTTCAATCCCTGGTGAGGTCATGGGCACATGCTCTTGAAGAG